ATATATATATATACATATATATGTTGGTAAAAATTAAGTAATTAAATGTTGGTATATAATATCGGTAATAAATTACCGATCGTTGGTATTATGTAAATATGCTGATAAAAATTATGTAAATATATGTTGGTAAAAAATTAAGTAATTAAATTTTAGTATATAATATCGGTAATAAATTACCGATCGTCGGTACTATCGGTATTGTGTAATTATATGTTGGAAAAAATTATGTAATTAAATGTTATGTAATATCGGTAAAAATTACCGACCGTCGGTAACATCGGTATGCTCCCTCCCAATTACCGACCGCTGATAACCCCTCCGCGATGATGTCATACCCCCTCCGTGACGTCATAGCCCCTCCGCCCGCGGTGACGTCATATCCCTCCGTGACGTCATGCCCCCGGTGACGTCATATTCCTCCATGACGGCATACCCCCCGCCCGCGGTACCCTCCGCCCCTCACCCCTCTCAGAAGACCTGGGTTAGAACCCGCCTAGCATATCTACTTCTGAGGGACAGGAAACTTTGCGCATCCATTTTGGTCCACTGGGGAAAAAATACATGGGAGCAGTTTTAAGCAGCGACAAACATACCACCATAGATTACGTGTACGGTGAGCATTTTAGCAGTGATAGAATGAAGCTTGGCGATAAAAGTTTCGACATGGATATTAACGATAATATAATCATTGGTGGTGTAAAGTACGCGGAAACACCTGGTCTATACGAGCTGATTTTCAAGAGAATTCCCGACGATGCCGTCTACACCGAGGCCGATAAACAAAAATACAAAAGTATATTACTGGTGTATTAATTAAAGTATTACTGGCAACGAATGGTCACCGGCGCAATTACAACGCGCTGCAATCCATATTGAGTAACAGTGAGTTCAAATCTAAAATATAATTGGCTTCTTTATAATTGATACATCGATCAACATGGTGGGCAGATGTTAAGCCACACCGCGTGCCATGATACGACAATGCGATCGACTACGTTCACTGGGATGATCACAATGAGCTGGTGAATGGTCTGCAGAAGCTTCACGACAAGCTTGCAATAACGCTCACGACAATGAAATTCTATTCATTATCGAGAAACTTCGCGAGGCGGGCCTTGTTATAAATTGAATCGCACATCGATGATACGCGTTGTTCGCATCGAAATGTCGATCAATAAATTTGGTTTTTCGCTCCAAAAGAGAGAACCGCCGACGATAGACTATTACACGTGGAGGGGAATACTCAGAAATTTCGTACGCGATAACTCTCTGTGCATGATCGCCTCCGACTTCGATGCGAGATCGCGTAAGATACGACGCGTAGCGCAACCAGAAGCCGCCAGTGATGCGGTCAATAGACTATAT